CTAAATAAAATTTTAAAAAGTTAACAAAAAACAATTCATCCATTTCTTTCCAGTCAAGAGAAAGTCATTTAGGAACAATGCTCTTCCTGTCAAAACTCTTTTCCGAATTTGGGTGTCACTCGTATGTATGACTGGAAGTAGACACATCAATGTTTCCTTATCTTCATGTCTTCCAATTATAGTTATCAAAAAAACATTTTGTTTATTTACTAATCAACAAAGCACAGTATTAATCTAGCTAGAAAGTAACTGAAGTTACCTCCAATCCAGCTCAATAGACACTTTATGAAGACGATTCTGGAATCACCTGAGTCCAGCTTTTCGATCGTGTGCCACAGGGAATTTTTCTGAGACCTGTATTATCTTCCTTTTTGCTCTCCTGAATACCCTCCCAATTTTAAGATCCTGTTCTTATCACACCGCCCTGATTTCTCAGATCTCTCCAGTTGTGAAGGACCCACACAAGGCTAGTCTTTTATGCTCTAAACTTACAGACCCCTTCCTCTCATAAAAACTCAACTTCTCAACCCATCCTTTAAACGTCTAACTTGTTCACTAGGAATTAATTTAATGAATAATCCTATCTTTGATATAGGCTACTGATAATGGCCTCCTTTTTATCCTTCTTCTGTTACATGTGCTATTTGGAAGTGTCTTAATAATCATAGGGATGCTGACAAGTTCTGTGGAAGAGAGTTCAGGCACCAGGAAATATGAGTTTTAGTTCTGCCTTGTTGATGTGATCTGGGACAAATCACCAGATCTTCTGGAAGCTCAGTAGGTTCATCTAGAACTTTGAGTGCCACTTATTTCACAGTAAGGTTGTCAAGCCTAAGAAATAAGTCATACGAATTGCAAAATTCAGATGCAATTGATGTAGAGTGTGTGAAAATGCTTAACAATTAAACAGTGCTATACAAATGTGATATCACTATTATTATTATTACTACCGTTATTCTAGTTAGTTGTATATGAGTATATCTCCTCAAATAGATAAAACTCTTCAGAAGGAAAATATACAAAAAATATAACTTTTGGTAACTCTGGGGCATTAAGAAACCTTTCCCTATAGACGTCCTTCTTTTAATGATGAAGAAATGATGAGCAGTTACACAAAGTCTTAGGGAAGTTAGCTTATGTTGGGCTGGTCAGTATTGACCAATGACTAAAACAAATGAGAGATTTACAAAGGACGTAAGAAGTCAGTGAGGTATGGAATGTTCAAATGTCTTTCTTAATTATCATTTCATCTTTCCATTATGTTCATGTTTGTTTTATATAAAAGATAATTTTTTAGATTAAGAATTTTGTAGAACTTGTGAAATAAAAAAAAAAGCATCGATACTAGCACTGAAGTTACATAGATGGAACACTGCCTGGACATCTGGTACAGTTTTAATAAGGTGTAATAATATCCTTCATATCAGGGGTGTCAAAGAAGAGGCAGAAGGTGGAGAAATGAGAGAATAGCATCCTTTGTGGGGAATTTTTTAAATATACATTTTTAGTCTATGAAGATTTTTTTGTTTCTCAAAAAATCACTGATATTAAGTCTTTATGAATCATCAGTCTTAAAAAATATGTGTTATATTTATGAACTAAAAGGTCAGAGTATCTGCTGCTTGGTATTTTCTTCCTAAATTTTTCTTTTTGTTGGTTCATTTTTAATACATAGATTTATTTGGCAATCCAGCTATAAACTTCGCAAGCTCTGGACATGCTAAGAGACATTCCAGAACCAGAAGGAGGAACAAGGAGAGGGAAATTCCAAAAGAATGAGTTGCTTTTAAGGGAACAATAAAAATCTAAATCTAAACGTTACCTTTACCTCATTCAAGTATTCACAAAATAGTCACAGAATATTTTGAACACAGGTGAAGCCACTGGGTAAAAAGTTCCCAAGAGCCTGTTACCCACTATTTACTATCCAATACCCAACATGAAAACTTAGCAAAGAGAGACAGCATGTGTTGAAATTACTCTAAATGGTTTTCAACATGTGTGATATGTTTATATTTTTGCAGGATATGACTCAAAATTTGCTTTGAAATATTTTGTATTTCTTACAGTAATAAAGAAAAAAAGTTCTGTATTATTCCAATTCTCTACTCATATCTAGATAAACTTCCTTCTTCATTTACCAAAAATACAATTCCAAGAAATACAAAAGTATGTTTTGGGAAATTTGTATCTAAAATATCATAATTTGACATAACATATTTTTTTTTAAAAAACCACATTTTCTTCACAATAAAAACAGCTACCATCTAGAAATTATGTTCAAGATCCTGATATTAATTTATTCATGTATTGTTTCTGTTCCACGTATTTCCAAAAAAGAATTAAATGGTTAATTTGACATTAAATAGAATTGTAGAATTTTCAAAAATTCAAAATCTAATCAGTGATAAATGGAAACAAGTAAAATTGACTTAGAACAGGTTTTTGCACTAGGATAGCGCTATGAGAGCACCGTGGGGAAAAAAAAAAGCCAAAATCTTTAAGAACCACTTTGTAATCACTCAGGAAAAATTTGATAAAAAAATTTAATTCTTCCCCCACCCACCCCCTTTGGGTTGTTAGGTATTATTAAGTAAGTCGAATACTACAAACAGAATATATCTTGATTTTATAAAATGGTTAGAAAATAAATCTAACTGTATCCTTTTAAATATGAGAGAGATATACGGGCTTGGTGGAATTCACAGATGATAAAACAAATCTTTGCAAAAAAGTGATTAATGACAGATTATCACAGCCTAAATGATGACATGTTTTTATCATCATGAGATTATGGAGACACTGAAGTTTATAAATGTCAGACTGTTCCTTTAAAAAAAGTTAATACAGCCCCAGGTCATATTCCAAAAATAAGATTTGCAGCCAGTACATCCCTGATTATACCCTCTGACATGGGAACATTATTTGGAACCCTGGGTTTGGTTGTGGCATAACCCACACTTAATAGGGGACTTAGCAAACAAGAATGTGTTCAGAGCAAGCATTGAAGGTGCTGAAATCTTATACAATGTAAGATTTGGTTGAAAAAACAGATTATGTTTGGGCTGAAAAAAAGTCTCAATGGCACATGCTAACTGCTTCTAATACCTGGAGATCAGTTAACAGGAAGAAGGTTTGGACTCAGGCTATTGCCAGAGGTAGAATGAACACCAAGTACTAAGTACTAAGTACCAGGTACTATGTAGTGCTAAGCACCTGTACGGAATATAAGAAAATGTCTAACTAATAGGGATAAACTTCTAAAAGAAACAGGAAAGCACTAGAAATATCAAGAATGTGCAGTAGAAGGGAAATTGACTCATGCCTACTCCTAATCTTATCTCTGTTTTAGCTTTGGGAGTCGTCCTGTACTATGCTTCCCTGACTTTCTGTTTCCTTATCTATAGAATGGATGGCCTTACACTGGATGAAAGGGACAGCAGCTCCGAACTGTGAGGTAAATGAGAGGAAAGGCTAAACTGGATGGCTGCCACGGTTCTTTGTATTTCTAAGGTCCTACCATTTTACAATAAAGGAAAATATATTTTTTCATCTCATGATAAGAAATTATTGATTAAAAAAAACTTCATTCACTCATCATATATGTATTGTGTGTCTACTATGTATAGGTACTTTTCCAGGGATACAAAAATGAAAAAAAAACAAAGCACAATAATTCTTGACCACATAGACCTGACATTATGTGGAAGGAGGCAGCCTATAAACAAAGTAAATTAATGACATAATGTGGTAGAAGGTGATAAGTACTATACAAAAAAAATAAAGAAAAGAAATTCGAAGTATTAAATAGGGTCAGGGAAGCTTCCATGAGAAAGTAACATATAAACAAAGATACATTAATTTCATCAATGATTTTAAAATTAATTTTACTATGAAATCCGTTAGAAAATGAGGTGCCCTCTACCAAATCTTGTGATCCAAATAATGTTCCCAGTAATGTAACATCTTAAGAGAGTGTGATGGGCTGAATTATGTCCCCCACCCCCAAGTTCATATGTTGACATCCTAACCTTCAGTTCTCCAGAATGTGACTGTATTTTGAGACAGCATTTTTTAAAGAGGTAATTAAGTTAAATGAGATCATTAGGATGGGTCCTAACCTAATATGACTGGTGTGCTTAAACTAAGAGATGAGGACAGAGACACAGACAGAGGGATGATGATGTGAAGATATAGGGAGAAGACAAGAGGCCTCAGAAGAAACGAAGGCAGCTTACATTTGGATCCTGCCTACAGGATTGTGAGACAATACATTTCTGCTGATTAAGGCACTCTGTCTGTGGTGCTTTGTTATGACAGCCGTAGCAAACTAATATAGAAAGTATTGTAGTATAGAAACCCTCTCTAAATATTAAGTTTAGGATAATGCGAGATTGCATAGTCATTTTCAAAACAATCAAGTTTTTATAAACTTTACATTTAGGATTTATTTGTGATTTCAATTTTTTTTTTTTGTATTTCTTCTTTCAACATTATATTGCATTGAAAATCTTAAACGTACTGGTTTTCTCCCAATATACTCTATTGAAGAGATTTAGGCTAACAAAAATATCACGAGGACTTCACAACGAATAACAGCATACTGATGTCGTGTGGAAACTTTCAGGATATGCAAAACATTCACTTTTCTATCCATATATGCATAGTTAAACTTATTCGGGTTTACGATGGCAACACATAATCTTATAGAATGTTCATGTGAAAAAGCAAACAGGTAATAATACCAGAATTTAGCTTATCACATCTCATTCAAATCTTAGGCCCTAATTGCTGAAAGAGTTTTTGTCTTGCTGTACTCCTGTAGGCAAGTGGCCACCTACTGATATAGACACTCTGCATGACTGGGGAAACACTGTATGCACATTTAAAATAGTTGTTAAAGAATATTGTTTCCTATTCCTTTCCATATCTTTCATATTTTCCTATCAGTGAAGTAAATTACTTTTAGAGAAAAAAAAAAAGTAAATTAATATACTTACAGGTCCTGTTAATTTAGATGGTTTCCCAAATTCTCCACCCTCTTCCATTACTACTTCTTCAGTCTGAGGTAAAGAACCTATTTTTAAAAAAAGAATGAATAAATTATAGTCACATATTGCTTATTAACTCACTAATGCATAAGCCTGACATGAAAATGGTATTAAACTGGACTGAACTGGTTCTTGAAAAATCATAGTGTTTGTGAGTTAAAATAGAGTGTAAAATGCTTTTTATTTCGGACAACTATGAAAAATGTTAAGAATGTCTATAGAAGGACACAATGAAGTTAGGAAATGTGTAAGAGTTGCTGCCATCTTGGATAGAACAAACCTAGCATATTATTCAGTTAATTGTTGGAGCTTACAATGAATGTTCTGTTTTTGGTTTTGTAATTTTATATTTATTTGTTTTATCCATCAACTGTCTTCTTTTTTCTTTCTTGGCCACACAATTTAAGTACTATTTTGTGTTTTCCCTTTTAAACGGGATGGAAAATTCTGGAGTACATTGTGAAATGATGGTTAAGTCTTCCATTTTAATGTAGCAAGCAAGACGCTGTGATTACTTAGCTTAGATAGGCTGAGGAGTAAATGAGCAGTGACTTTCAAACACGTGACTAATACTGGCAACCTTTCCCATATGTCTGCTGGGTTAAGTTAATTATAACAACAAGGATTTATATAAAATTCTGCAATAAGAATAAATTTATAGAGCTTCTAGAAATACTCTGTGTTTTAATACCTTTTATTAAAATTTTAAAAATTCAGTTAAGAAGAAGGCATTTAAAACCACTGAAGGCTTTTAAAATAGATTTCTTATATTTATTCCCTAAAGATCTTCTTTCAGATTCACGTAAATATGGAGACAGATATTCCTGTTGCATAAAATGTACACTCTAGGAAGAAAATGGGAGCATTAAATCCTTCAAGCCCTTCATGGCCACCTAAGGCCAGGGAGCTGATGGAAAGCTTAGCATAAATCCATAATCATGGCCTCTGAATCATGGACCACCCTCTACCTCTGATAATTCAGAATTTTACATCCAAGTAGAAAAGTTACTAAACCCCAGGGCACACAGTTCATCTAGATGTAAATACAGATTTCATTTTAGAACATGGAATTCTTTCCACCATTAAATTGACTTTGGGAAAACCACATATATTCTCAACTTGTAAATAGATTTAAAATCTTTACCTACCACCCTTCCAAACAGAACATAGACATTTAAAAGAAGCACATTTTTGTTGACAAAATCAGTACAGATGATAAGAATTACACCAAGTTCAAAAATATTAATCTACTTATGCAGAATACCTGAACCCCTATTTACTAAAACCTGGATGTAAGGATGACAATAAATAAATTCTGTAAATAAGCATGTAAAATTAGCAAAATTTAAGCCCTCCGAGGCTGAATTATATTCTACTGAACTGTGAGTAAATACTAGTATAATTTTAGTATTCACTCAGTATTTTTCCCATTTTATTTGTGTGCTGAAATTTTTATTTGAGCAGAATATTGACTTAATAAATAAATAATATTAAAATGTTCTATTCTACATTACAAAGCAATTTATTTGATATATAGGAGAAGAAAACCTACCCTCTAGTGGATTTGCTGATTTTTTTTTTTTTTAAGATTAGAAATACTATACTATAGCTGAGTTTTCAAGTTCCTTTCAGTAAGTATTTTATGTTTTAAAAAGGTATTGCCATTCTGTTTGACTTGCTACACATGTAGTAATCAGTTCATTTAGCCATTGATTTGTGTATTTGTTTCTTCATTTATTCAACAAATGCTATATATCAGGGACTCTACTAAGTGCTTTCAAGACAAGTAAAGCAAAATAATTTTTTATGACTCTCTTTTACATTCTGCTTTGTTCTCATTTTGGTTGAATTCTTCCTGGTTATTGACATCTTATCTACTGAGATCTAAACTATAATAAATTCCACCCAGCATAGTGTAAAAGTCCTGCCAGGATATTTTCAAACTTACATATCTAACCATAATAAAAACTGTTAAGTTGAAAGGACTCTGCTAAATAGCTCAAGTCCAGTGACAGATATCAATCTAACATGGTAGTAGGGACAGCAGACATCATAAAATCAAACCTTAGTGTTTCATGCTTGGAACTCCATTTTTTAACAGGTATTTTAGTACACTGTTTATTAACAACAGTCGTGTGCATTGTATAGACTATTTCACCCTGCCTGCTATGAGCAGTTTCTTTTATACGTATACATGATTTTCAAAATACAGTCTTTGAATTCTTCGAGGTTGTTTTGTTTTTTTTTAATCACATAGAGGGGAAAGTGAGTTTGTAAATTGGTCAAATATTCGAGTTTACTTTGTCTCTTTATTTTAGAGAAGAAACGGAAGCATAAAAAGATAAAGTAATTTTGTCAAAATCTAAGTGTCTGGCAGCACTTGAACTAGAAACGTGCCTCTGTTGTTGATTGGGCGTGCTGGTAGACACTTAGAAATCTGCAGAGTTTATTATAATGTTTAGCTTTATCCACCTTTTTCCTGTCATTATTTTTACTTTTGCTGTTTGTGCCACAATAGGCTTTTATGCAAAAAATTACACCTATTCATAGAAATATTTATGTTTATTGAGCCAAACTCAGTGTGGATACACAGCTGACATAAAAATCACATTAGCACTTTTGAATAATACCAATAATATTGAATTATTGTGTCTACTGATCTAACTTAAGTGGAAAAGAATTGCATTTTATCAGAAACTCATATTTTGGAATTTGGTAATTAAGTCTACTAATATTTGAATGTGAATAATGCAGAATAAGCTCTTTAAGAAAGGAGCTTAAACTTAATGAATACATTTTTCCCCAGTGGATGCAAGTAAATCTAACCAACATATTACTGATGCATTGTTTAATTTTCCAAAATATTTAAATCCTTATAATTCCCAGTTATTATGTATATGTGATTGCTGAAGCTACAGATTTGTGGATTGGTGGATTGAGGTGGTTTTGATAGAATTTTTTAAGATAATGAGCTAGACAAATAATTCTGTCTCGTGTCAACAAATGGCCACCCAGGGACCTCCATTTTGTTGGGGACACATTGCCTAACTTTCACTATCAGTGTTAAAGGTCCATCATGAGTGTTTCATGTCATCAGTACTACGAGAGATTTGAGCCCATGTAAACAATTATCATTTCATTGCATTGTGCTACACTGGCATTGGTTTATGTTCCCATAGGACTTCATTTTTAAATGTTCATTAGGTAATAGTTGATATCTAAAAAAGTATATATAAAAGGTATTTATGTAAACTATATAAAGTATATTTAAATTACAAAACAAGGTTGGCCAAGTGGCTCAGTTAATTAAGAGCTCACTCAAGAGTGTGAGCTCTGAGCAACAGGGTCACACCGGTTTGATTCCCAGCCTGAGCCGAGCTGCCGCTGAGCTGCCAACAGGTGGCAGGATGGCTCAGCTAAAATAAAAATTTAAATAAATAAATAAATAAATTACAAAACACAAGGATAAACACCTCCAAAGAACCACCACCTATCTTAAGAAGTAGAATATTTCCTGTGATCTTCATACACCTGTGAGCAACTTCTTTATCCCGTCTCACTGCCCCCACCCACTGAGGGTAGCCACCATTCTGCGTTTCTAATTCCTGTCTTTAAATATAGTTTTAACGTTTATTACATTTTCCTGAAGAATATTATTACTTAGATTTGCTAGTTTTGAGCTTTACAACAATGTCATTCTGTGACTGATTTTGTTCAATCAGCATTGTGCTTTTAGGATTTATTCGGTTGTGAGCTACAAAATGCTCATACCAGATTGAGAGACCCAACTTCCATTTCAGGTTGGTTGCTTGAAATCAACCAAGTGGGGGGTTTTACATCATAGAAACCATCAATCTCTACAAATTGGGGCTCTTTTTCAAAGAAACAGTTGTTAACATTTACCAGCACACCAGTGGTTTCATCCATCTCATGTGTGTTGTTGAAATATATTCAGTTTCCTACACTGTAACAATTCCACAATGTATCCATTTTCCTGTCCAGGGCACAGGAACAGGGTTGGTCATGTTTCATGGTAGAACAGACCTGTTTCTAAGATAATTACCTAAAGTGGAGTATCTAAGTTTTACATTATATAAATACTCAACATTTTAAGATAATGGAACACGATTTTCAAAGTTGTTTATGCCCCACCTGTAACGTATAACTTTCCTTTCATCTGTGTCTTCACCAGCACTTGGCTTTGCCAGATTTCTTAATGCATGGCGAACGAAAGGTTGTAAAACAGCATCTCTCTGTGGGTTTAATTTGCTTTTCCTTGACTACTAGAATACTGAAGCATTTTTCAAATGCTCATTGGCCGATTGTGTTTCCTCTTCTGTGAAATGTCAATTCATATCTGTTGCCTATTTTTTTTTATTGGTTTGTTGATCTTTTCTTTATCAAATTGTAGATGTTCTTTATGTATTCTGACTATTAATATTTGATTAGTGACAAATACATTTCAAATATATTTTCCTACTTTGTGGCTTATCTATTTACTTTTTATGGCATCCTTTGAGGAACAGGAGTTCTTAGCTTTCATAGTTAGGAATTTATACATCTGTCTGAAGATGTCCTTCTCTATCCAGATGTAGGGAAAATATTTTCGTATAGAGCCTCTTTTAATTATTCCAGATGGATGCCCGACCACTTCCTGTTAGAACACAATGAAGCAGGGAAGTATCTTAGACACCACTGTAGTGCATTACCTGTACTTATCTGTTTATGCAGCAAACATTTTGAAGTGCCCTCACGTGAACTTAATACGGTAAGTTAAGGAGCTTGAATTTTGTCCAATAAAAAACGGGGATGAAATAAATGGTTATTTTTAGAAAGGTAATGAACAAAAGAGGGGTGACACAGCACAAGGAGACTCTACATACAGGGCAGTTAACGCTAGACAGAATGAGGACAAACGCACAGCCTAGGCAGCATCAAGGAAAACGGAGAGGAGGCTGGCTTGGAGAGAAACTTCTGAAATGACATTGACATGACTTGAGAACAATTTAATAATATAAGGGGAGCAGGGGGAAAACAATCAAGTATAAGTGACACTTCTCCTGGGAAGCCTGAAGGGATCTGTGATGTGAGAAGGGGAGTAGGCCATGTGAAGTTACGAAAACAAGTTGGAATTAGCGGCAACATTTGCGGGGCAGTCAACATAGAGTTCACCTGTTTTTACCTTAAACAGGCACCGACACAAGGATTCCTTACAGAACCCACATCCCTTACACAGCCTGAAGAAGTGATGGACCGACACGTGACAGGCAGCCACGGTGAGTCGGGCAGAGGAAGATGTTTCGTTTTAGTTTCATTTTGTTTAATCTTCAAGTGTCAATAAAATTACAAGAAATAATGTTGGATTTAAAACTTACCCAACGAATCTGGGATTATTTCATCTGGAGAATGAAGAATTTGTGGTGATGTCTCTTCTGTCCTTTCTGCCAGGTTGTCTCCTTGAAGCCTAAATAGTTAAAAACAAAACAAAACAAAAAAAACAATTAAAAATGATTAGAAATGTGAACTACATACTACTGGCGATGTGACTACGAACTTTGGGACTCTAAAATCAGGCATGCTTCTTCAAAGTGGAAATTAAAGTCTACCAAAGCCTTTATAATATAGTGTTTTTGCTTTTCTAAACTTTAAGGAAAACTCTCCCATCATTTTTCTCCTGTATACATTGGAAAGTTATTCCTAGGTAGAATTTGCTTTCCTTCTTAGCCTGACGAGGGAGATTTATAAGCAAATGTTTTCACTGAAACGACAACGAGGAAGTGAAGGGAAGAAAGGCAAGAATTTAACACGGTATGCCCGCCTGATTTGTGGGGCCAAGGCCAGGAGAGGGTTTCCATGGTTACCTAGATGTTTACCAAACACAGTTCTCCAAATGAACCGAACCTGAGCTTTAAGGTCTGCAGATCAAGGTCAGTCTCTACCATGGAAGTAAAGATTCCTAATACATGTGACTGCCCAGGGTTCTCAGAAACACGGTGTTTCCTTAGGAGAGAGGAAGATTGTATAGGTGCTTTTCTGAGCCTCTGTATTCACATCGCTATAGTGAGATCAGTAGACTAGCAAAATCCAGTTCAAACAGTCTGGGTTTATAGTACACTGTGAAACTACTTCATCAAAGGAGGTAGAGCTCATTGATAAATGTTGGAACTCTGTTCTAAGAACAGCAGAATCAGCTCTGCTAATATTGCGGGACATCGCATCAAACCATCCAGAGATGTTTCTACCTGCACCTTTACTTTCTCCTTGTACTTAGCTGATGGCAAATGCTTCACAGAAGAATATTAATAAATGCATGACATTTAGCTTTCATGTTTTAGAAACTCAAGTTCAGTTCTGAAGTACATCAGGCTAAAAGTTAAGATTTTCAACTATTTTATATCTTTGCTTTTATTAATATATACCCCAGGGGAATCACAAAATAATTTGCATTTGACTTCCATATTCAAGCATATATGCCTCTCTCTTTATCTTTTGTGTTAGTATAAATATTGTGAATTATATTTCCATTTGTATTCTTATAATATTAAATTCTGCACATTTCTGTATATATTATACACTTATATATTACCTTGTATATACAAAACCGTATTTGTTGTATTACGTAAGCTCATTACAGAATTCTCAAGGGTAATATCCTGAAACAACACTTTTTGCTCAAATATGTATGATTTTATACTTTTAATTAATTTTTAAAATTTTACTATGAAAAAAAACCCACCATTTTCAAATGAATTATTTAGCTACATAATTCTCAATACTGCCCAACTATTTTTTCTTATCTTGTTTACTTCTAATAATTAAGATAAGTACTTCACTAATCAGCAATATCAAATATTTTTGTTTGAAGCCCACTTCATCAACATTATCAACGATAGAAAGTATATAGGTATATGAGATACTGAAAGGTATGAGTAAAAATTATTATTATAAATTGACAATGAGCACCAACACATTTGGGTATTTAACATTAGGTCAAAAAACTAAATAAAAAATAAATCTCCAACAAAGACAGAAAGATGCAAGAAATAAAAACTGAGTTGTAATTTTTTTTTCTCATTGCAAGCTTCAGGAAAAACAAATATTTATTTAGTATTTATTAATGTACTCAACAATAAGCCAAATGTTGTAGAGATGTAAAGAAATTACAACTGTCCCTGCTTTCACAGATTTCTCAATTTAGTGGAGTTGAAAAGACAAATGGCCATGAGCACAACCCAACACATTGGGTGGCCTGGACACTGGCTCATCTTTGTCCAAACACTGCCCTCCAGGTACCTTAAGAGCTGAGTTTATCGTGACTTGGCACCAGCTCTACTGCGGAATGCTTCGCAGCCCTGCTCTCCTTGATGGCTTTGCCAGTATTGCCCGAGCTGTAATCCACACAGCACTGCTTCTGTAAGAGGTTAATAGGTGCTATGCAAACAAGGGTTGTGTGGGCAAGTCCGGGAAACACAGTCTTCATAAAACTTAAATCATGTTTTTCCCCGACAACAGTTTGACTCAGACTCTCAAACTTTTTCTCTTCACTTGCTAAAACGCCTCTTCTGTATTAAACACCCTTCTATATTCTCAGCCCCTACACAAAATGTGTCCTGCTCCTGCTTGTCATAATTGAAATCCTTTTCTCTTTTAAGAATATTGCATCGCTTTTTTCCTCTAAGAACACAGTACCTCCTCTCCAAGGGAGGTTGCCTAACTCCTCTGGAGACCCATGTCTTTCTGTCATTACTGCCCAACCAGGCATGAACCCATCATTTTCCTGCACATGTGCAGCTGAACAATGCTAGAGAAAATCATGACACTCTAGGATTGGTGAGTACAAATCAATGGTCTCTAACTTTGAACTTGGGTTTCTCGGTGGTCTTTCCTTCATTCATTCCTTCCAAAATCTTTTTTAGACTATCACCTCTATGACATCCAGAAAAATTACATCATCTGGAATAAAGACCTTCTACTCCCTGACACATGGCACCTGCAGAATCATCTTCGTCTCGACCTGTACTCACCACCTTTCCAATTCACAGAGGTTGAGAGGAACGGTGTCCTATGTTAAGCTTAGACCATCCATTAGGATGGTGATTTGAACCCTGTGTCTCATGTCCCCCTTGGACCTTCATTTATTTTATGAACCACCAGTCATTCTTCTCATCTCCATGGCCCAATTTCCACAGCATGGGAACAAGCTCACTTCTCACCCAGCCTTAAAAACAAACAAACAAACAAACAAAAAATACCACAAAACGAAATCCCTCTCATAATTATCTAAAACATCTAGCTGTTGCTTCCTCTTGCTCATTCTTCTTTGAGCCAAACTCCCGAAATACTCTTCAGTGACTGCTTTAGCTCCCACAGTTTTCATTCACGCCTCAACCTATTTTAACTTGGTTTGTGCTTCTGCCATTCTGAGAGGACTGCTTACACCAAGGCTGTCTGACCTTCTCATTGTCACATATGATGGAAAATTTTCATACCCTGCTTTTATTTAATTTTCAGCTGTACTTTCCTATTCTATACCATCTCCTTGAATCAGCTCACCCCCTCTTAGGGTTTTTACCACATACAGGTTGAGGTTTTTCAGTTCTTGATCTGGAGTCCTCGGCTCAAGACTGGTGCACCCACATTCTTACAGGACAGTTGACCTGGATGTACCACAAGTATCTCACAGGCAATATGTCCAAAAGCAAATTCCTTTTCATCATCACCCTGCCTTGCCTTGCAAGGGGCGCATCACCTCCAGTCTTGCTAATTACACTTCCTAAAGAGATTTCCTGAATCCATCACTTTTTTCTTCTTCATGCGACTAACTATAATTTTGCTGCTCATCCTGATGTGCCTGGATTATTATATAGTTTCCTCACTGATACTCAGAAACTTGGCTTCCAAAAATCCATTTTCCATATGGCTAGCAGAATGTTCAAAACAAATCTTGTGCTTTAAATATTTCGACACAAGAGATCTTAACATGGCTATTCTTAGAGGGTCCATTGATAGGTTTTAGGGAAATCACAATAATTCACAAAAAAATAGAAAGAAAAGTTTTGGTTGATGTGCTCCTTTTTGGATAGGGTGACAGCAACTTCAACCACATTTTCCATTTAATCCTTGACTCAAAAGCGTTTAAGATCTACCATTTTTATTGGCTTTTCATCACTTGCAAGACAAGTTATGGTTTCCTTCCCAAGTCATTTCAGTCTCTTTATTGCAAATCCCTACATGTCTCTGCAAATTCATCTTCTTGGATGTTCCACCATAGATTTTATACTCCATAAACTCCAAACTGCTTTCACTTTCTGGCAGGAATTTTGTTATTAAGCTTCTGTGTCATTATATAATTGTCTCTACCAGAATTGACTTTCACCTCTTTTACTATGCGGCTTAATCCTAGTTTTTCATTTTAGATTCTCCTCTTTTAAGAAGCTTTTCTTCCAGAAGTCTTAGCACCGATGCAAATCTTTTCCAAAACCCTACTTTACTATATTTTAACTGTTTGTCTAGATGTCTGTTTGTCAACACATTCCAAGTGCCTCAAAGCTTCAGCAAGAATTTTATTTTTCATATTTTCTTGTCTCTAAAGCCTCGCGTAGATTGAGTTTGGTACATTATAAACTCTAAAAGAGATTTCTTAAGGTATTTTTAGTGATTAGTTCACCTTGGAGATAAAGAAAGGAAACTAGGACCCAACTTATGTATGAGGGATTTTGTACAGAATACTATAGTCTAGTTATAAATATAGTCCCTTGAAAAGAGGTAAAAATCATCCTGCATACAGTTAGGATTAAGCAGTTCTTATCCTCTGCAGAATGTGAGACGGAGACTGATGTGTGAGTGGTAGTATGACCTGGGAGATAGGCACGAGAAACACAGGAGGAAACACAAAAGGAGAAAAAGCCAATACAAGAGTGTGTTATTGGCTCAGCCATATAGGTGGCTGCTGATCAAGCCCATAAGAATTCTGAAGATCCTTAAGAAATGTGTCCCCTTGAAGGATGAAAGGGCGAATCATTTATCCACAGGCTCTTGGTCAAGGGCATTCCTTGACATCCCTGAACTTTTTTGAGTTGCACATACACCACCAGTAATGAACGATTCTCAGTGGTCATCCCTGGGCAGGAGATGAGATGTAAAAGGTACCTGCATATGTGAGATGCTAAAGGTTGCACCTGCACAGAGCTGGTTGCCAGAAGCAATGTGCAGGTCTGGCAGCCAATAAGAGGTCAGGTATTTGAAATGGGGTGCACATGGGGCTAATAGTGATGGTAAATGGGTTTGGGTTTAAAATAAATGAATCAGATTAAATTTTATACTGACTGGTGAGACCTGGCTAGAGGAAATGCTGTTATACACATTATGAATTTCTATCGCCAAATTTGTCAGCCAACAATCACATTCCATTGACTCAGTCTTAATAGTGAACAAGCCAATGAAAGGTAGCATCTTCAGGGACTA